AACACTACAGCACGCGATTTGTACGGATAAACATGTATGTACTATGTATGAATGTGTGTGTTGTCACCGCTCTCAGAGCGCCGCTCTGCATGCTTGGGGTGCATATGTACACTAACATACATATCCATACTCAGATGTGAACAGTCAAATACGTGCGTAATAAATTTTGTATTAAAATATTATTTTTAAATACGAACATTTTTAAACGATAATCAAATATAAAGTATTCATTTTTACTATGCATTATTTCCCTCAGTGTATGTACACCGCCTAAGAAGTTAATTCAAATTTCGAGCGTCAAGAAGCGCAAAGTAATTAATTATTCATTATGTTAAGTGTAATCAAACTTTTCCAGCTTTTTCACACACAAATATTTTACTTAGCCTAGTTTTGCAGAGAGTATAATTTTACAGAATTTTCTTTTGTTTTTTTGTGCAAACATGTAAAGGGGAAACACGGGAGCCTTAGTTGTACGCTCAGCGATTATTTATTTTTTCTTGCGAACGAAGAAAGCGTGAAATAAATGAAAAAGTTTGAAATTGTCTAATACATAAATATTTTTTAAAGCGACACTTGAATGCGTAAGCACAGTTTTTAAGCACATTTTGTGGAGTTTTGGAGGTAAATAGTAAGTTAGATGCTTGCATTTGTTAAAAGTAAAGTAACAGTGATATCAGAAGATACCATATGTCACTTTCACTCTGATATAACTTGACTAAAAAGGAAGGAAAACATGTATCTAAAGTGTAACCCAAAAATTTTTCATTAGCCGGATGAATGAACGAACAAAAATGGACCCCCCCTTCAGTGGCAGGCTTGCCAAGAGGTCAGTGGCTCGTACTTGCACACTCGAAATCAATCAATTCATTCACAAATGGAATTTGTATAAATAATAAATTCATCTTATCAACAACACAGCGTTGATTGATTGAGTAGTTCAATTTATCATGAAATGTCACTAACTGCTGCTGGTGGCAAATAACTACCGGTAAAAAAAAATAATCATAAAACCCATATAGGCACTTACTACTTACACAGAGGGGCAACCAAAAATATTATGTTAAAACATTAAAACAAGTAAAAAAGTGAATATTGCGTAAGAAACTATACCGCTATTAAATGATAAACGAGAGTGCTAGACGCATTGAAAGCGACTGTCCGCCAAAGAGTTGCACTCGGCATTTTAGTTAGCTGGGTGTGTTGCGGTAAACCACTGACTAAATAATTGCGTGCCGTTGCCTAAATTCGGTCACAGCCAGTCATTTTCCCACAAACGGTATGGTGTAAGTGCGTATGTATGTATATTTGTGAATCTGTGGCTAAATCGACCAACTTTGCCGCAACCACTGTGGTGGCAAATATTTAATATCAACTCATATGAGTTCGCTTATTTGAATTTGCTTTGGCCGAAAATTTGTTTTATCTACATATCTATGCACGTAGCTGGCCCAGAACTAATAGAAAATGTCACGAAATACTCGCAAACTGGGAGCAGCATAGCCACAGAATTGTTGACTGAGTGGGTGCGACAGATATGAAGCAAAAATTTAGGTGTGCAAATTTAACATGACTGTAGGAAAAACTGTGGTAGGTGAAATTTCTAGTCTAAGAGGTTTTAAAGCGCAGTTGACTATGTATATTTTCGCTGGCAGATTATTATATGGGCGGATTGTCATAAGCACATACATATCATGGTTTATGATATGGGCTGTGTAGAAACTAAAATTGGCCTTACATTATTGGCTATTTTTGGATATAGTTTTTACGGAATTTAAAACAGTGCATAGTTTTTGGTACTTTAAACCCTGAACATAAATTTTTCGTACCTAAAACTGGCCATATTTATTTTATAACTTAATAAATTGTAATACAGTTGTGGCTATTTAAAACCCCGATTTTGGTTTTTGGTAAATTAAAAAGTTGGGCAAATAATTTTTAGAAATTAAAATTTAGGCAAAATTTTTTACAGCTAAAGACTGGATATAAAGTTTTGCTAACTAAAATCTGAGCATCAAAGTTTACAAACTAAATATGATTTTTTGTTTATTCCAAATCTGTACATTAATTTTAGTTATGTAATTAAAATCGGGACTTAAATTTTTGGAATTAAAAAAAAAAAACATGTTTTAAAACTGCACATAAATTTGTTGTTACTAAAACCTGTACATATTTTTTTATTAATTTAACATTTAGAAATAATGCTTCGGCTGGATAAAGTTGAAGACAAATTTTTGATTACTTAAAACCTGGATTTTTGTTGTGCGTTAAAAACTAGACAGAATTTTTCCATTCCGAAAACTGGACATGAACTTTTGATAGCTTCAACCTGGGCATACAAAATTACAAAATTAAGAACTAAACATTAAGTTTTAGTTATTTCCAAAGTGTGCGCAAATTTTTGGTAATTTAAAAAAGAAATTGTTGTAATTTAAAAAGTGAACATAAATTTATGGTAACTAAAACGTTGACACAATTTTTTTTAATTAAACATTTGTACGTGACGTGTAGGCAAATCGAAAACTGGATAGTAATAATTTTAATTTGACACCTGGAATTAAATTTTTGGTAAATTATAAACTGGACATACATTTTTTGCCATTAAAAAGCTGAACATTGCTTTTAAAATTAACATAGAAATTCAGTAGCTAAAACTTGAACATTTTTTTTTTTATGATTTCAAAATTTTAGATGTGCTGCTTTTGTATTATAAAATCCGGTCATAATACTTTTTGTTGTAATTTAAACCCTGATTAACCATTTGGGAAGGACAAGTGGATATAATAATTCGCCTTTGAAATATGAATAAAAATTGTGGATCATCCACCAACTAAGCAACCACTGTTAAGTTCATTAAAAACATATCCACTTTTTCTTTTCAAATTTCGATAACCAGTCTTTACTATACAATATTTTTTGATTACTTTTATCGCCAGTATTTCATATTCAATCTTCAAATACGTACAATCGTAAATATATGTATGTACACATTTTCAGTAATAGTTTTAATGTCCAGCTTTTAAATGACAAAATATTTACATACGAATTTTTTAAATGGCCAACAGTTTATGTCTGTTTTAAAGTAGGCCAAAAATTATTGTATTGTGAATTAATTTTTAAATTACCAAAGATTTTAAAACTCACTTTCCGAGTTTTTTTCATAAAATCGTTAAAAAGAAGATAAAGAAGCTATGAATTTTTTTTTTTGTTTAAGTCAAAAAGCCACTAAAATCCCGAAATTCTCGAAACTTTGATTCGTTGAAATTTAATGAATACAAATTTTAAAGTTTCGAGCTTTTCAGTTAATCCAATAAAGGGGAACCACTTAGGCTAAAAAAATTTAAAGTTACGCAGCTGACTGACTAAGTATAACCACAGCCGGAATTTTGAGAGTTGTTTATGCTTTCAAAATTGTTCGAAGCGCTTAGCTAATTTTCCAGTGGGGATTTTACTAACAGTTATCATGTGCATGTGCTCATGTTAATATAAATACATACGTATATATTTGTACGTACATAAACGCAAAAGCCGCCTGAGCTGAGGGGTCGACAAAATCAACTTAGTGGCAGTCAAAGGTAAGCCTGTGGCGCTCATCCTCTCACAGCTGGCGCAACAATTTTTAATTACAAACCGCCTGTTTGCTCAGCAAACCTTTCATATTTTGGGAATACCTACTGATGTGAAAATAACTTGCGCAAAGTCCCCAAAAATTGAAAAAAGGACTTTATGATTTTGTGCTTTAATCTTAATTTTATTTTAATTTTCTCTGTGACGGCCACCTAAACAGCAGTCCCCTTTTAGTTGCTCTTTTGTCGCTAGGCTGGTTTTGAACGAAAACAAAAACAAAAACGAAAAAACAAAAACAATTTTGTCTGCTGTACACTTCTGTTAAATTAACCAATGCAAATTGAAGTGCTAAAGTTCTACCCATCCATGGTACGTCCTATATATGTAAGTAACAAATGCTTCCAAGTTACTCGCCGTCTGGGTCACCGTGGCGTATGCGGGTGTGCCAGATCTGCCTATTTACAAACAGTTTTGCGGTTAGTCGTTTTGGGTTCGCCTGGATATTTTATGTGTTAAGTGAAAAGTTTTATATGTGGCTAATTTGCGCGCACACACACACACACACATACAGTGCAGTATTGTAAAGGCCCTTTTCAGGGGAGTGTGCATAAGTACAATAGCAAGTCTAACGGTATGTGACTGGAATGGCAGTTTTATGTTATGCTATGTATGTACATAAGTGGATTCTTATGGGTGGTTGACTTTGTGCCCTCCTTGTAATTTGTTATGACTATAGCCATTAGAGTCAATAATGCGTGTACAAGTAGCTCTTCAAAATGTGCTTAAAAATTATGTTGGACGGATTTCGCAATTCAGGGCGAATTTTCATCGAGCCTTGAATTTGAATAAAATTGCACTTACGCATTCAGTTTCGCTTTTACTTAAATACTACGGCTTAGTGCGGTTTGACTTAATTTAAAGTACTTTCACAATTCCATTTTAATTGCGTAAATATGTATAATTTTTTACACAATTTCATTAACTTTATGAGTATATGTGTGTATGTATGCTTGCCGTTTTGTGGCAATATTATTTTAATTTTTTTATTTAAGTACATAGCGTATGCAGGATTATTTAAATTGGCACTTGTGTTATTTATGCTATTTCATAACTATATATACGTATATATATATATATATATATATATAAATGTAAGGGCCATTATATCTGCTTATATGTATACCTACATATGTATGTATGTAAGTTATTTTTATGTATGTATGTAATACGTATGTACAACGTCTCTTTTACATCCGTTCATGTGAATGTTTTTATATTCTATTGTAATTGTAGTTGTTATATATGTACATACATAAATAAATCTGCACTTTGTAGTGATTGGCAATGACTTTTTCGGGAAGCATTATTTGTTAGTATTCCACAGAGCAGTATTCCAGAGAGCAGCGGGCTCTTTCTCTGCTTTCGGATAGAAGCGAACCTACGTACGTACGTACGTACATATGCACGTAAAAACGCATGCAGCCCGGACACAGCATGTTCGAGAGCGTTGACACATCTGCTTGGTTAAATTTATCGTCACGTTTACCAGTCACGTGAACGCGTAGCCTCGTTCTCGGTGTGGAATGTTGTACTGCGACGTGTCTCTACGTATTGGCTTTGTGTTTGCGCTACAATTTGACCGGAGCGTGGTGGAGGCGGGGGCGCCGGTATACGCGGCTGGAATGTTGTCTGCAAGTCAAATAACAGTTGAAATGTGAGTTTTAAAAATAAAATTTGATCAACAACAAGTGCTTATGGCATAACGTTCCGTGCAAAGTGGAAACGTGGAAGTTTTTTATTTAAATGTTCGTTTGCTTTGAGTGGGATGTGTGCACATGTTAACAAATATAGCATTTTAACTAATAAATCTGTATTTGAATTGGCGCTATAACCTCTTCAATGCCAGCCGATGCCTATTGGAAATTCCAAGGGGAGCCAAGTTTTTCTACATCGGATCTTTCCAAAGCATAAGAGGTCTTCTTCCGCTTCGGGCAGCAACTCGCTTGTGAAAAAGTTACCATGATGGCTTGCTATCTTTATTTAATGAGGTAGTAATGTATATCTGACCGCTTCGACAGTCTAAGGGGGTATCGTCGGTATTGAAATGTATGCCATATAGAGTGCTGGTTAGAGTTCTAATAGACACGTTTTTAAGATATATCATTTTCAGGTAACCCAATGAGGCTTTATGCAGCTTTCATATAGAACGTATGGTCACAGTAGTATAGCGTCATCCCTAATTGGGCGAGTATATTACATCTCTAGAAGCCACAATAGAGGTTGAAGATCGATGTAAGAGCGTGGAGTAGAGATTGAGGCTTCTTTTGAATAATAATACTGAATCTGATTGACACTGGGTGTGATGGGAATGGCATCACCTCTAACCCAACCAAAAGTAGTGCTGTGCTCTTCACTAGAAAGAGTAGGTCGGATGGTCTCATTCCCCTCACACTTAAATGAGTCACAATTCAAACTTCTCTCGAAGTGAATTACCGGGGAGTAATTCTGGATACAAAACCATCGTCGCAATCTCACGGGAAGCACAAGATCTCTAAAGCATGGGCAGCATTTTGGCAATGTAAACAGGTCTTTTGTAAAACGTGGGGTCTGTCACCAAAGGGAATCCTCTATATTTATATCTCTAAGATCAGACCCATAAGCAGCTATGTGTCAGTGGTATGGTGGAGTAGACTCTCAATCAAGAGCGTGAGAAATCTGCTTGCTAAACTTCAAAGAACTATTCATTGTCGTGTGCTGCATGGGACCTTTCTATACAATACCTGGCGATGCTCTCGAGGCATTGCTGCACTTACCGTCACTTTGTAACTTCGTACGTGGGAATGCCTTAAAGGCCACCTGCAGACTAAACAGAAACAGATGTTGGTATAACCCTCAGTGGGGCGACTCAGAAATTGCTGGCGGCAATTCCACAGGATAGTATGCCTCAATTACCTTTGTTGAAAAGGAAAACAACGCAGATCTACAGACTATTGACGAATATAGCGATTCCTAAGAAGTATGGCTATCACGAGGAAAATGTGGAACATGTAATATTCAAGTATTCAGCCTTCCTTATTCTAGATTTTTATTTTTCGCTCTCATTTTTAAACCTCATATTTCGTCCTCCTTAACTTACCAATCGCTGTGAACGACGCGATTTGGGCGTAGCTTCCGGTGATGAAAGCTCATCTGGTGCTGCCCAGTGCTCGGTGAATTCACTAGCCGATCGTGCTAGTGACGGATGACTAACCGAACGATGGAACGAGCGTCTATCCTCATCATCGTAGTATTGCGTTGGATAGAATGAGCTCGCATCCGAAACGTTATCCAAGTGATCGGGTCGCCCAAAGTCTACCGTTACCTCGGACATTGAACGTAAATCATTTTGATCGGTGTGATACGATGTACGTGACGAACGACGCGAACGTTGTATATTGAAACTATTATCACGTAATGGCATGCTGGGATCTTGGCGTATAGTGCGCACAGACGAACCGCCATCGCTGTCATATTCGTACAAAGTTGGCAAAGAGCTGCGACGCGAGCGAGTATCCCACGGTTGTGTTTTCTTTGTGCGTTTGGGTGCGCGCATTTCCACATCCGTATCGTCATCGACAGGTGGCGCCAATATACGGATGATAACATCCCAGGTTTGTGGTTCAAAGATGCGCTCGTAGCGTGTGTCTTGACGAATACGTTCGAAGTCTTCGCGCACAACTGCCGCCGTGAGCATAGTACGCAATGACGATTCGGTTGTGATTATATCTTTCCATTTGGCCTTATCGTCATAGCTGATGTAGCGTGTGAGCGGGTGTACGCTGGAATGCACCGAACTGGCGTCATCAGCCTCGGAGAACTCTGGCTCTTCCAAGATACGTATCAGCACATCCCAATTGGGCACCGCCTTATCTTCTGGGGGCATTTCAATCGGTTTCATATTGCCCACTAGCTGCGGACTGGTCAGCTTTTCTTTGTTGTCATAGATTTGTTGTGGCGGCTCTTGGGGCACAATTGGCAAGCTTAGTTCAGAGCGCTCCATCTTTGGCGTTAGCGTCATGCCGGATGCGCTTGAAATATCCGAGAAGTTCTCCCACCGTTGCTGCTCGCGTTCGGTCGGATAATTACGTATCTTAACATCCCAGGTTGGATCTGGAATTGGTGGTGGCAATGGTTTCGGCTTCGCCTTGTATTCGGTGACACGACGCTTATGGCTCTCAATATCTTCAATCGTTTTCTTTTCCGTAATGGTGCGCAAATACACGTCGTCCACAGTATGCGATGTGACCTGTGGCTTTTTCACCACAATCGGCGGTTCACGTGGCAGGTACTCAGCTTCGAAGAAGTGCGTGCTATCGACCATTTCACCAACCGAGTGTATATCAGGTGCCTCGGAAGTCATATCCGTTACCTCACTGACCGTCGGTGCATCCGTAAAGTCTGACCAAGTCTCCGGACGGCCGTCGACCATTTCGTGGTGTGTGCGTGCATAAACAGAGAACACGGGTTCTGGTGGTGGTGGTGGCGTCACTTCCACAGTGTGCTTCGGTGCCGCATGCAATTCAGGAACATAAGTGAACTGACTGTGTACAGTCTCTTTCTGTGCTGGCAGTGAATCCATTGTCATAATACTTTCACGGTCTTCATGTGTCTCCATAATAGTCGAAAGATTGTTGCGATCTGGGCGGAGTGTGGCGACACTTTCGGTGTCCGAGGTAACAGGCGACGGAGGTGGTGGCGGTGACTTCTTGACACGCACTTGCACGTCGAACTTGGGTGAAGAGGACTCCTTGACGGCAATCGGGTGACGAGGCACTGAGGTGGCCAGTGCATTGGCAGCCTGCACCTCCTGAGTATGGCCATAGTTATCGCTATAAATGCTGGAAGTCTCTTGAACAAATGCACGATTTTCAAAGCTACCTGCGGAGCTAAAGGGCAGTGATCTGCAAAAGCGAGAGAGAGTGAGGAGGTAAAACTTTGAATATGGAGCAAAAATTCAAGATTTTGTACGTACCTCGTATCGATTTCTTCGATTTCGGAATGTGATTCGCTGGGGTAGTCGGAAGGTATGAGCGCACCCTCGCTACCCGAGGAGCTATGCACAGCCGCTATGGGCACAATAGCGCGTGGTATTTTAACGCCTTCAAAGGCGCTTATATTACCCATGCTACTGCCGCTAAGCTTGGTGATTTCCGAACCACTTCCCATGGACATTGGAAGACGGCGGACGACCGGTATTGGGCGGCTGCGCAGACAATAGTATGAAACAGCCAAACCAAGTAAGAGTAATGTCAGGAACATGATGGCGCAAATGATGAGAAGTAGCTGTATACCTTTAAGTGGAGGCTGCAGCACTGAGCCAGTGGCAATGGGATTTAAGCTAAAGTGAATATGTAAAAAATGCATTAAAAAAATTAAATAAATTAAATAAATAAATAAACAAAGGCCATATAATACTGAGAAATGGAGATGCACCTTAGAATTGTTATCTCATCGGATATTTATAATCAAATCAATAATAATGACAAGGCGACAATTTAGTTATAAGTATTGAGTTTATGGGGCAATGGGTAGTTTTTAGTTTTATTTTTTTTTTATTCAAAGGATTTAACTAAAACTTATTTTTAGTTATTGGCACAAATATGGCTGCATCAAAAAAATTTTCGACCGATTTTTTCTTTTGCTTCAAAAATTAGAAATTTTAATATTTTGTGCGAAGAATATGTACCGCCAATTATTGCCTTTAAAAATGTTTCCCACATTTTTTTAAGCACAAATAAATGCAACAAATCGTAGTTTTTCGGGTTTTCTCAAAGTTTTTGAGACTTTACGAGTATTAAGGAGATTTTTGTTTTTAGAAGAGTTAAAAATTATTCCGAAACAATTTTTCTCGGAATTTTTCGGGATTTATCCAGAATTTTCTTGTTTAATGGTAAATTTCAGGGACCGTAAAAGTAAGAACTTTTATTTAAAAAAATCACTCTTAAACAATTATTTTTTTACTTTTATTTGATTACTCCTTACACAACCGTTATTTCTGAATTTTATTTTATAAATCCAAAATAACAATTATTTTTGGTTTTTATCTAAAAAAAATCTGCAAATAACGGTTATTTTTCATTTTTAAATTATGTGACTTAGATAACAGACATCGAAGACTTTTATTTATAAAAATCATAAATAAAAATCAGTCACTGACATTTATTTTTTAAACGATATTTATAAAAGTCGTTAAGAACACTCGTAGTAAACTTTTGTTTCCCAACACCTTCTTAACTTCGAAAAATGTTAATGACTTTTATACGAATGACTTAAAAAATAAAAATCGTTGACTGATTTATATTGATGACTTTTAAAAGTAAAAGTCACTCACTGATTTGTATTGATGACTTTAATAAATAACATAACATTGAATAACTGTTATCTAACATATATTATATAAAAATCAAAAATAATTGTTACTTTGGATTTATATTATAAAAATCAAAAATAATTGTTATTTATTTAATTTTGCCTAAAATTTGCAAATAAAAATTTGTTTTCAAATTTGAGTTTCGGTGAAAAAAGAAATCGACTGTTATATATCACTTAGTTGTAGAACATTTCCTTCATAGTGAATTTTCTATGACAGTTTTCATCAATAACTGTTATATTCGTTCTCTGGCAAACTTAAATCTTTACCTTTCTTGGTATGAACATTACAACTGCGAAAATTTATGATTTTTTTGTTTTAAAAAATGTCAGGCAAGCATTGCCCCTATTAACGCACTCAAAAAATGATTCCAATATTTTAGTGCGAATTACCAAAAATCTGCATTTTTTATATAAAAGAGACACTCATTATATTGTTCGTATTCTTTACTTACATAGGCGCCGGTAAAGCTGGCGGCAGTGATGGTATGGGCGGTGGATAACGACAAACGATCGTAATAATCTCATCGCCATCCATTTCCAGATTGGCGTGGAAGCGAACGATAATATTGTTGGTGAATACGCGTGTAGGATTCTGAAATATATTTGCAGTGGTAAAATATTAATAAATATAAATACGTGTATCTAATACTATAACCAAAGAAAACCATACATACCTGTATAGTTCCACATCCTTTGAGTGGCAACTCCAATCTATAACTAAGTGCCCCCTTGCCGCTGACGCGACATGCGCTACTACGATCATAATCGGCTTGTATGATGCCATGGAAAGGTTCATTAAATTTCATATCCACCTAAATAAATATTCAGTTCAATTTTATATATATTTTTTAATATAAAATTAAGACTTCACTCACCTGCATTGAGCCGGCCGCACAATTTAACGCTGCTTTTGTGCGATTCAAAAATATCAGCGGACTAATATCATCCAGTTTTGTGACCTGAAAAATAAAATCACATTAAAAATTTACTTGTTATGCATAAAGTTTTCCTCATTTTTTTTTCAACATTATTCGACCTCCAGTGCATTAAAGTCTCTCATTGCCTCATTTAAGCTAATCAGCTTTGTCGCCTTACAGCTAGCTCATCACCCATTTACAAGCGAATGAATGGGATAAGTGTTGGGCAAAAACGCTTGCGGCAACCACAATGTCATTGTTTTCGAAATAAGCGTAAAACCTCAACTTGGTATCATTGGCCCGCATCTTGGCAACATTATATAAGACTTGCTGTTGCATCCAATGACTTCCTAGCACAGAGACACAAAACTATGCTCCATTGAGTTTTTTTTTTATATGTATGTATAGGTACATTTATGTATTTTCACAAACACATACCCAGCTACACACAAACAACAATGTACACCCATGGCAACTTCAAAAACAAAGCACATTTTACCTTCCTGCTTGACTAGCGGACTGACATTGAGTTCATGATGCTGCTGAGAGCATTGAAAATTTACATTCGCGCGGGTTTTTTATGCCAGTCAACTAGCGAGCTCGCGAAGAGAAAGTACTTAGTAATTAATTTAGATAGCATTTTATTGTTTTGCATTGCCAAAGGTAACTGCGGAGTAGTAAGTAGTTAGCGCCAACCTACATTAGAAGAGCTGCCAGTAAAATTTGAAATGCAATGAGAATGGCGGGAAATGTTGCTTGCACATTTGTACACATATTGTTGGATAGGAGATGAAAAAAGTTTTGAAGAGTGTGGTTGCATGCATAGTATGTACATTTAGGTGGTACAAAAATATTCAGGAAAATTAAATTTTTGAAATTTTTAACAGCAGAATTGTAGAAAATGTAAGGAAAAGAAGTCCGCATTTTTTTTTTTTTAATCTCGATCAAAATTTGATGGCGCGACTTTGACTTTTTCACATATTTTACATTGGAAAATCAAATTTTTTTTAGGATTGCTATAAAATCGTTAGACATAAATATTTTTTGACTGAACAAGAATTTTTCATTTAGAAGTTTACAAAAAAATACTTAATATTGATGCATTTCAATTTTAAAATTTTACTCATTATGCCCTTCCATAGAAAAATTGACTATCTTCTTTATGTTTCGTCCTTTTTTTGCATCATAATTTGATTTTTGAAACATTCCTGTAGGAAAATATTATTTTTCCATCAAATGATATTTAGTAGTAACGATTTTATAGCAATTCTGTGAAAAATGCATTTCCTTCATATAAAATACATGGAAAACTAAAAATTTCTGCCGGCAAAATTACGTGCTAACCACTTTCAAAATAAAATTTCTCTTCAGTTCTGGGAAAAACAAACTATGGACGTATACGGTTGTTTCTTTACTAATCGTAACAAAAAAAAGAGTATATGTAAATTAAAGTTCTATCAAAAACTGAATGAAAAAGTTTAAATATATCTATATATGTGCTTACATATGAATCACTCCGTATAACTCTCTCTACAAAATTTACTTTGGATGAATATTAAAAGTGAAAAGGGTCGGCCCTGGATATCTCAGTGACAAAATAGATTATTTTGCCTCTTAGCTATATGAAGGGCCGCGCGTCTCTCAGCATTGGAAAAAGTTGGCCAACAGTGGGTGAAAAGTCCTCAAATCCTCCTCTCTAACTAACTCTGGTAACCCATGCAGCAAGACAAGGACTGCTACACAACACTTCTTGTCGCAGCATAGTAAGGCATTTGCTCTGTAATTGCATCTGCGGTCTACCAGACATAAGATATATTATCTAGCCCACTACAACTTCACGGGCTGGATCTGTGCGGAGTAACCATCTTCCGCTCTTTTCTTGTTATCTTTTATTTTTAAAGTCAAATTGCGAGTTGCGGTTTTAAAAGACCTTTTGTGGAGTTCTGCTCAGTCCAAAGTAGCTCTTGGTGGCAAGAGTGATTCTAGACTATATGCAAATATGGGTATACATTTAACTACTTATTTCATGAAATGTTACGCTCGTAATGCTTGCATAAAAGCTTTACCTAATTCCCTCATTAAATTCAAATATTAAGTATCCTATCTGTTGAGAATTTGTCCTAATTTATTGAGCATAAAATATTTAACATTTACTGCAATTGAACGCATACCTTTCCGTCCAGTGTTGCCTCCTCGGGCAAGCCGTTTGTTGTGTAGTTGCCGCTGTCGCCTTGTTGCACATAATTCGATTGAGCTCGCGCACCATTGAGCTGTATCGTCACACAAAGCACTAGCAGCAGACACCACAGGGCAGCAGCTTCGCCCATTCTTGTTGAATATTTTTGTTGTGCGGAAACTTTGAATTTTCTTTTACTATGGTAATGAAATTTTAACATCTGAAAAGAAGCAATAAAAGTTACATATAATAAGAAGTGTCTTACAAGCCAAAACAAAAACATAAATTTAAAGCTTATCGTATGTGTATTTGTACATATATGTATATTTATTTAAAGAACTGTTGCGCTAAGCACTCGTTTATTTAACCATAAAAATACACACACAAGGTAATTAGCCACAAAAAAAAAGTTCAGTAAAAGCCGACTTTGGCTAGTTGAAGCTTTTGAGATGCTTTAGACTCTTAGCTATTAAAACATTGCAACTCGACAAAAAAGGTTCAGAGGCATGCAATATGTTATACCTCGCAAATATTTCGATGTTTTGCAAGCCCTTCGTAAGTCGCACCGCATGCAAAGTAATCAAATTAAATCGAATTGTGTGCATCGTTTGCTTGCCTCGTAAACCAAAGCACTCGCAATTTGCCAGCTTACAACTCATAAAACAGCGTAGAACCTCATTTGCAATTTACTTAACCCCACTTAAGTGCGTGCACATGCAAATAAATTTGCATTGTCTTTGTTATAGTTTTTCTGAAACAGACATTTGTGCTCCTACATAAGTATGCTTAATAGTTTTTTAAACTTTTGGAATGTTTGCAAAAAGTTAACCTTTACGTATTTAGTTCGAAGAATTAAGATTCAAATATACATATCAATATCTATACAAAAAAGATCGGTGCGGTCGCATTTGTAAAACTTATTATATTTTAAGACTTCCGCCAAATATTTCATAAAATTTTAAGATCTTCGTAAGCAGCACCGATTTGAAAATACCTCCAAAAATATACTTTTTATAAATAAAATTAGCTTTTAAAAAATTTGTTTCCAAAAATTTACCTCAGATGATGTAAGAGTTTGAGGTTAAGGGGTCTGCATAAAAATGTTCAAGCATTTGATCAACAAAATCAAAGAATTAGATTTTGGAGGTATTTTCAAATCGGGCCAGCCCACGCCGATATTAATATTTTTTCTGAAATATTTTGACAGAAGTCTTTAAATATATCAATATGTATAGCTCCTGCAGATAACCGCTACTTCTTTGGAAAAACTTGTAATAATTTTAATTTAAGTAATTTAAATGTTCGCCAAAGACTAATCATAATGTTTTTTTTTATGTAACCAAAAAAATATTTTTTCATTCTCCTTCTGAAGATCAACCGCCGAAGCAATTTTACATTTTTCTTTATAAATTTGGATTACTCGCATGCTTACTTTTCTGAAATATTTTCAGATCAAGTGGTTACAACCGATGGGTCGAGTGTGCACATTTAGCCACATAAGGGCTAAAGGTTCTTACATATGTTTGTATGAATATTTGAAGGCTTAAGTAAATGTAGATTTGCTTTTAAACGACATTTGCATAGATCGTAAAATTTTATCTATGTACCAACATGCACAACAATTCCATTAAGAGACCTGTAAAAAGTACATACATACATAGGTACGGATAGCGGACTGCGATAGAATAATTTTTGAAGAATTCGAAATGCTTACCATCTCTAGATTTTCCTTAAATAGCGTTTTGAGTTCACTCTTACCGAGTTGGTGTTGAACTTTTGGTCGTCGAGATGTAAGGCAGTGATCGAAAAAAATTGCCGAATTCCTCCCAGAAACTGGTTCAAAAGTTATTAAAGCTGTTACAAAGATTGCACGGGTTGCAAACAATTTTTTTATTCTAATATAAAACGATCTGAAAAGTCCATATTTTATCAACCACGAACGAAGTTTCACTATCTCCTTAGGCAACTTTATAAGACTTCATAAACCACTGACAATAGCACTAGATATGTAGATATACCCACCCATGGTCGCAAGGCTCTAGTCGAAGTAGATAGAAGACCTTTTTTAAGTAGTTTCTTAAGACCAAATCAGCGAGCTCACAAACAGATGAAGGCCTATACTCGAGTTGTAGAAGAGACCAGAAAAAACGATCAATAAAAAAAAAATATTATTAGAACGAAAGCACCCTCTATTTTACGCAAATAAAGTTTGCGATTGCCAGACATTCTATATTCCTTTAAAATGTCTTTAAAATATTTTGATGAAGGTTTTACTCTTTTTTAGGGATTGAAATGGATGCATATTCGCAATTTTTTGTTTACGGTGCCGTCAAATGATGATGTATATGTACGTACTCTTATAACAATAAATGATCTTAAGTGCATATTAACTAATTTACAGATAATACTATTACAGTAATAGGTAGGTCTATAAAAATCATGCCAAGGAAATTTAGTGTTACACCATTCTCTATGCACATTCACTAGGGACCTAAAGAAAATGGCTGTAATCAATTACTCAAATATTTGCCAAAATGCCGCACACAAGCGGCTTGTAGCGACCGCCATTAAAATAACGGTTTTACCTCACAGACGGTTGCATGCTGAGTATCTAGGTCGTGTTACATGCACGCATATACATACATACACACTTGTATATTTTGCCGCTTTGATTGATTCTATATGCAAATTCCATTTAATAAAATGAAAACTGTTGCACACGTGCTGAACGTTGCTGCCATAAATATAGCAATATGCGGCTTGGTAATTAAATTGTGTAACTAATTAAATTAAGTAGTTTGACGATGAAACGTAACATGTATGTATGTATGTGCATACATATATGCTGTGCTGCGGTTATGAAATACCGAAGCCTTTGTTGTTTGTCCAACACATTTCAAAAAGCAAAAAGATGGGAAAAGAAATTATAAATTAAATAACACACCAGCGTGATACGTAGTTGTATCTTTGTTCGATCCAATTTGATAAAATTTTTCCTAAGATGCATTGCGATCCCAGCTATGTCTTCGATGTTGATTTTGGAGACTTTTGAATTCTTTACATTTTTAAATTTTTTTTTTTAGTTAAAAAGCAAGTTATGTAACATTTTCTAGCAAAACTTTCCTTCTTCGTCTTTTCATTCGTATGTATTGCAATTTTAACACACTTTTAAGTAAAGCGATTATTGTTTCTGTTGATTTTAATGTGCGTCTGCGCGCGCACTTACTACTATTTGCATATATGTATCTATGTAAGTAGTTGAGCAACACAATGAACCGGAAGTGGAAGCGAAGGAGGAAATCTCACTGCAACTTACAACATCATTTGATTAGTGCATATGAGCATACCGTTAAAAATTAAAAAAAAGAAAATATGTATACACGTGAATGTTATAGTCTACTCCACATTTATGTTATCTCGAAAAATGGAAAAACTTAACAGATTTCTTCCACAACCCTAACGGTTAGGCACTTTTAACAAACTTTTCAATGAACACACTAAATTGGAAGGCTGTACGTAGCTCGATGTTTAAAGCTTGATGATCAACCAAGCATTTGTTGTACGTGGCTTGACGAGAAAATTCGCAAAAGGAAGAGCAAGGAGTGTGAAATTAGAGACAAAACCGGTCCCCCCTCTGCATACACTCTTTCTTATAGTCTATTTACACCAAACCACTATGCTGTAGTTAAGTTTTTTGGTCTTGTCTAATAGAGTTTAATAACTATTATAAATAAAGGCTGTTCTGTATCTGCTCTATTATTAATCTCATTTTAAAATCAAACAATTTAAAATTGTAAATATTTGTCCTTCAAACAATCACCTTATTTTGCAACCAACTGCATTCACCTCAGAATGTAACAAAGCACCTATACACACCTATACACATACATACATACATAAGCACAGATCGTTCTGGGCAGCTGCAAATCCAGTTTCTTTTAAAAACCTTGTTTAGTTTAAGCCATAAAATGTTTTCTTAGAAAACGAAAAGTTCAGAGAACAACCAAAAACTGCAGAACATAAACGCAAGCTGCAGGAGGTAGTATTTCTGTAAGCCATAAGCTACACAAGTAAATGTATGTAGGATAAGTACATACATATGTATGCAACTGCAATTGGTGGTAGCAGTATATTGGTAAATTGGACAAATTTATTGACTTTCGGAAGAGTGATATTCGGCTACACTTGCAGCTGTATACAAAATTTTACGATAACATATATGTACATACATACATATGCTGAGTATTTTAAATGGCAGCAAAGAAAAATCTCATGACACCAATTTACTAATTAACTTTGTGTCATTTGGAAAGGAAATACCACGTGTGCCGCAATTTTCCCAAATGTATTTTCATTTCTACATATAGAAATGTATTGGGAAGGGGAGGCGGATATAACAAGAAGACATTTAAGTCTTTAATTGATATTTCTTAAAAGAGACTAAGTATTTTTATAGACATTCTTACAGAACATAGCATATGGGGAAGTCAGTCAAGCTTAAGCTTGAGTTATGGTTCAGTGGTCCTCGTCGCTTTTGGAAGAGTTATTCATTGAGTGAGATGCCGTCGCAGAAAACCGTAATAATGTCAGCAAAGGATGAGCCCATACACATCACCCCAAAAAGCATCTATAAATCATAACTGCTCATCATAAAGTTTTCTAATTTAAAGTTAATCAGGGACCGAACATAACAGTTATTGATGAAAACTGTCATGGAAAAATTCGCTATGAAGGAAATGTTCTACAACTAAGTGAAACATACCAATCGATTTCGTTTTGCACCGAGACTCAAATTTGAAAATAAATTTTTATTTGCAATTTTTATGCAAAATTTAAAAAAATAACAATTATATTTGATTTTTATATTAGAAATCCAAAATAACAATTATTTTTGATTTTTATATTATATGGCTTAGATAACAGTTATTGAAGAGTTTTATTTATAAAAGTCATCAATAAAAATCAGTCAGTGACTTTTACTTTTAAAAGTCATTAATATAAATCAGTGACCGACTTTTATTTTTTAAATCAATCGTATAAAAGTCATTAACATTTTTTCGCAGTTAAGAAGGTGTTGGAAAACAAAAGTTTACTACGACTTATTCAAATGACTTTTATAAGTATGATTGAAAAAATAAAGATCAGTGACTGATTTTTATTTATGACTTTTATAAATAAAAGTCTTCGATAACTGTTATTTAAGACATATAATTTAAAAAT